AGAGTTCTTCACCTAATTGTGCTTATCCTGCTAAGAAGTAAAGACCCACCACCACCCACCCATCATCTTAGCGAAGTGAGAAAAGACACTCGATCAACACAAGCCAGCTCTGTGGACACGGCTGGCCACTGATCCCTCCCTAGACAACAGATGAGATGACCAGACAGCCTGCCTGCCTGCCTGGCTGCCTTCTTTCTATGCTTTTTTTTTTTTTTTTTTTGGTCCTGGGGATTGAATCCAGCGGCACTCTACCACCGAACTATATTCCCATCTTTTTATTTTTTGTTTTGAAACAGGATTTCACTAAATTGCCTGGGCTGGTCTTAACCTCGCTATCCTCCCGCTTCAGCTTCCAGAGGTGGGGGGATTATAGGTGTACCAGTTGCCCAGCTCAGATAACTCTTTCCTATTTTCTTCTTTTTTTTATTTTGGTAGTACTGAGTATTGAACTCCAGGCCTTCACAATGAGCTATACCCCCAGCCCTTTAGAAAATATTTTATTTTGAGACAGAGTCTTGATAAATCATTAAGTTGTCCAGGCTAGGCAGAAACTTGTGATCCTCCTGCCTCAGCCTCCCAGAGTACTGGGATTACAGACGTGCACTACCACACCTGGCTCAGAAAGACTCTCTTGTGTCTAAGATGATTTCCAGTCCTATTTCTCTTGCACCAAGAGGCAGGTTCTGGCTCTTCTCTAATAAAGATATAATGAAGAAGTTAACATGTGAATATTCCTGTGACATGGAGCCAGATATGTAACATGAACAACTCACAGTATTACTCCTTTTCAGTCAGAGTTCATTCAAAATTTCCCTCTAGTGAATGAAATAGTTCAAACTTTGGAGTTCCAAGTTCTCCTAAGTACTTTTTTTTCTTTTTGGAGTTAGGGTCTCACTACATAGTTCAGGCTGGCCTCGAACTGGTGGCAATCCTCCTGCCTCAGCCTCCCAAGTGCTGGGATTACAGGCATGCACCACCACGCCCAGCCCTAAGTACGATTTAATAAATCAATTTGTGACCAGTGGAAGATGACCACGCTGGAAATAACAGTTGAGCTGGAGTCTTCCAAGACATGCTTTATAAGTACGTTGTGATCCCCATCTTGGAGCTGAGGGAACTAAGGCCCACAGGTGACAGCTATGTCCAAAGCCACACCTTTAGGAAGAGTCAGCCCAGGCGCTCTCACTCCAGAGCCCAACCTCTTAGTCGCAGCATGATGGCTGCCCCTCGGGAGTTATTGTGCAGACAGCGCCCCCTACAGAGGAGGGGCAGAAGCACAGA